TTGCACTGATCATCTGCGCCGGCTCACACGAGAGTTGCGTGACGCGGTGGTATCCATGACCGTCCATTGAGCGGGCTCGGTTCCTTGACCCGGCAGCTGCGTCGTCTTGCAACGGATCCGAGCCTTCTGCGACTTGCGTGTGCGTGGAAAGTATCCTAGGCGGGAGACGGACTTCCATCTCTACGATTCCTTCCCTCGACGTTATGCGTATCCGGGGACCGTTCTCGTTCTGCTCCGATTGTGTCGGCGACCCTGGCGGGGTGGTAGATCGCACCAGGTCCTCAAATGCATCGATCGGAACGGCAATGACATCTGCATCGAGCGGCTCTGCGGAAGGGTGATCTTGCGAGTGCAGGACGGGGAGATTGAGTGGGGTAGCGCCGGTAACCTGAGTGCCACCAACTTGTAGCGTCTGGATCTCGCTCGAGGCGATTGCGGGTGCAAGCTCCGTTGCCCGCTTTCTTTGTGCGCTCGGAGGGGACACCGGCCGGGCCCACCCAAGCATTGCGAGCAGGCTGTGAACGGCGTCCCGAATCAGGGGCGGTGACTCCCGTCGCAGCCCGAGAACAGCCAAGGCCCGGTCCTTTCCACTGGCGTCCCGGCTGGGAATGTCGGGCTCGTCAGGACGGATCATGGCCGTCTCGACAGCTTCGTAGACGCAGGCGTAGACCCAGCGCTCGATGGAGTGCTCAGCACACAGGAGGATGGCGGGCGAGGTCAAGATTGCACCGATGCAGTCCGCCATGGAATCAGACGCATTGCAGTGCAGAGAGAACGGCAGAGGCGACGAGTCTGAGAGGGGGTTGAGGGACCGCCAGGCTGGCAGTAGTGGGCGGGCGGGCACTAGTCCAAGGCGTTGCAACGCAGCGTGGTAGAAGAAGGGATAGCACAGCATCTCGAGGCCCAGGCGAAGGCTAGACTTGAGGGCTCTCCTGGCGTGGCGGAAGAAGTTGCGTGTCCTTGCGGTTGCGCGTGTGGCATAGAGCAAGCGCTCGACAGGCTGATAGACAAAGGTGCTGTAGACAATGGCTTGGATGTGCATGGTCGCAAACACGCGCGCGGCAAAGCCGGCATAGACAATGGGGGCGCCAGAGAGGGCACGCTCAGCGGCCGCGATTTGGACAAAGGTGAGGGCATGGGGATAGTGGAACGTCTGCGCCGGTTAGTGGATCCACGAGCGGGCGGCGGCAGGAACGTGCCAGAATCCTCTCCCTGAGAGTGCCTATCCACCAGGTGCACAGGTTCTCGGTGAGCGTGGTCGCCAGTGCAATGGCATTCCCAACGGTGTCCTCGGCTTCCAGCAGCTCGAGGCGGTCGTGGCTGGCGCGCGGGAAGGCTCCCGCCGGGGCGTGTCGCCGCTCGACCACGCCGACCGAGGCCAGCACATCGTTCTGGGCGCCTCGCAGCTTCTTGCCGTACTGGTGGGAGCGCGGGTTGATGGGGCTGCCGCGCTCGTCGTAGAGCTGAACGTAGCTGTTGGCGGTCGCTTCGTGGTAGCGCGGCGGGACGTCAGCCTGCGCCGACTCGAGCTGGACGTACGCGGCCGACTGCGATGCAGCCTGCGTGGGCGCAAAGGCCGAGCGCCCCTAGCACCGTGTTAGCCAGCATGTGCGCGCGGCGCTGGCGGGGTCCGTACAAAGGCCATCTTGTCCAGGTAGGCTTGGCGGCCCATGGTGGTGGTGGTGGTGGAGGAGGTGGCACGGTGGGTGTGCGGGAGACGCGCCGCCAGACGTCAGCGCGCCGTGGGGCCGTCTTATCGATAAACTTTTTTCCTGCGCCCTCAGCTCGCCCAGCATACGCTTCCTGCCTCTGCCTCTACCACACGGCCCATCATGTCGGCGCAACGAGCTGCCGTCAAGACCACGTACAGCGTCGCTCGCACCCTGCAGCCCATCTACGCGGGCGGCAGCCTGGCCCTCAGCGAAGACGGGCGCATCTTGGCCGCCAGCTTGGGCGAGGATGTCCTTCTGTCCGACCTCACCAACGGCCAGGAGCTGGCAAGGGTCGAGGGCGACGGCGAGGCCATCACGGCCCTGGTGCTGACGCCAGCTGCATCCCACCTCGTCGTGTGCTCGCGGTCGCTGTCGATGCGCTTCTTCGCCCTCCACCCCCCGGCCACGGACGACGACACCATCGAGCTCGAGCTTCTGCGCACACTGCGGCCCCACACATCGCCCGTAGTCACCCTGGCCACAGACCGCAGCGGCACGCTGGTTGCAACCGGAGGCGCAGACGGCGTCGTCAAGATCTGGGACATTGTCGGCGGCTACACGACGCACGCTTTCCACGGCCACGGCGGCGTCGTCTCGGCCCTGCACTTCTTCGAGGTAGAGGTGGCGGAGCGCCCAGACGCCCCCGACAACAACAGGAAGAGGAAGAGGAAGTCGCGCCCAGACGCTGCCGAGCTGGAGCACGCCCAGGGCGAGAGCCAGATGCAGTTCCGCCTGGCCTCTGGTGCCGAAGACGGCCGGATACGCATCTGGGACCTGCACAAGCGCAAGAGCGCCGCCGTGCTCGACTCGCACGTCTCCGTCGTGCGCTCGCTACAGTACTCGCCGCACGAAAAGGCCCTCGTGTCTGCCAGCCGAGACAAGACGCTGATTGTCTGGGACTCGCACACGTGGAAGGCGCAGCGCACCATTGCTGCTCTCGAAGGCATCGAGAGCGCGGGCTTTCTCCCCGACGGCAACACGCTGTATTCGGGTGGAGAGAACGGCCGACTGCGCCTCTGGTCCGCGTCCAGCGGCAGAGAGCTCACCCGAGAGCAAGCGCCTGGAACCGAGACGGACGAGATTGTCAACATTCTCTACTATCCTTCGTTACCCTACTTGGTCTCGGTCCATGCCGACCAAGTGCTCAACTTCTACACACTCAGACCAGCCGAGTCGCTCGGCGTGCAGGACACCATCGACCCGCTCCCCATATTCCGCCGCGTCTCGGGAACGCACGACGAGGTCATCGACATTGCCTACGTTGGCAGAGACAAGTCGCTACTGGCGCTCAACACCAACTCGGAAGACATCCGCATCATCACGTTGAACGAGTCTGATGGAGACGACGCAACCCAGGGCAGATACTTCGGTGCGGATGTCGGCTTGCTCAAAGGACATGAGGACATCGTCATCTGTCTGGACGTAGACTGGTCAGGCCACTGGCTTGCTACAGGTGCCAAAGACAATACGGCGCGGTTATGGCGAATCGATCCCGCGAACGAATCCTACACTTGCGCCGCAGTCCTCACTGGCCACGCCGAGTCGCTCGGCGCGATTGCATTGCCGCATACAATACCTCAGGAATCGTCAGCCGCCTTTACCGACCCCCTCTCGCATCCTCCCGCATATGTCGTGACCGGATCGCAGGACAGGACCGTCAAGCGGTGGGATACTACCAAAGAGATGAAGGGCAAACTGCGAGCCAAGTACACCCGCAAAGCACACGACAGAGACATCAACGCCATCGACATCGACCCCTCTGGCAGTCTCTTCGCATCCGCATCGCAGGATCGCACCGTCAAGATTTATTCCGCCGCAGAGGGAGAGGCCATCGGTGTCCTTCGGGGCCACAAACGCGGCGTATGGTCGGTCAAGTTCGCACCCAAGGCGTCCCAGGCGCCAAACTCGGGAAACAAGGGCCTGATCGCAACAGGCAGCGGCGACAAAACCGTCAAGATATGGAGCCTAGCAGACTACAGCTGTTTGCTCACCCTGGAAGGCCACTCCAACAGTGTTTTGAAGCTGTCGTGGTTGCCCTACCGGCCCGTCGATGCACGAGACAAGCGCGGTCCGCAAGTAGCCTCTGCAGCTGGTGATGGGCTTGTCAAGATTTGGGACTCACTCTCGGGCGAGGCCATGACCACACTCGATAACCACACCGACCGTGTCTGGGCGCTCGCCGCACATCCAACAACAGGCGCCTTGGTTTCTGGTGGTGGAGACAGTGTCATCACGTTCTGGGAGGATACAACAAGCTCCACGCTGGAAGCTGCGACGACTGCAGAGACAGAACGCGTCGAACTCGATCAGAAACTACAAAACTACACGTATGCCGGCAACTACCGCGAAGCCATCGTACTCGCCCTCCAAATGGACCAGCCAGCCCGCCTCTTCTCCCTCTTCAAGTCGGTAGTAGAGACTGAGCACCCAGATGCAGACAGCCTTTCAGGTCTCCATACCGTTGACGAAGTACTCGCCTCTTTGGCAGACGAGCAGCTGTACAAACTGCTCATCCGCCTCCGTGACTGGAACACCAACGTCCGCACCGCGCCGATCGCTCAAAAAATCCTATGGGCTGTGGTCAAGTCCTACCCTGCTTCTCGGCTAGCCAGTCTGAGGCCGCAGGGGAAAGTAGGGGCGAAGGGCAGTTTGAAGGACGTGCTGGATGCTATCAAGGTGTACTCTGAGAGACACTACAAGCGGGTAGAGGAGTTGGTAGACGAGAGCTACTTGCTGGACTTTACTCTAAAGGAAATGGATGAAGTAGCTGGGGAGGTAAAGGCCATTACGAATGGCACATCGCAGCTGGAGAGAGACATTGTAATGGTTGATTGAAGGCACTCCGAGGAGATCCTGTTCAGTGATGAGTTCAAGGCGAGTAGCTGTGTTATAGGCGCAGGGTAGATACCAAAGTTTGTCATTATCGAACTACGTGTGCGGCTGTTGCACTTGCTTTGCGTGACACCGAAGATGATGGTCGCCAGCGCATCCTCCAGCCCTCAGTCGCAGGCAATATTCGGCGTAAAGCAACAGCTCCTCGGATCTTGCATATTCTTTGACAGTGACCAGCATCTCTTGGAGCTGCCAAATCGGTGTAAGCAGATGACGGCCTGCGAATAGATGGATCGCCGTCTGTGCCTCGGTTATTCTGACCGGCTATGAGATCACCGGTCCCGACTCCTCACCCAGCACCTACATACATAGGGCATGGTGCCAGGAACAAAGTCGCACCCCCTGTCTTATCCCCACAACAGCTCCCACAGACTCGCTCTCTAAAGAAAGCCGGTCATGTCTCAGCCGAAGATTACATTCTACGTGGACATTGTGAGCCCGTTTGCCTACATTGCTTTCCACGTCCTCAAGGTGAGTTCGTCTGGGTGGTGGTATAGGTTGAAGCACGTTTGCGACATAGAGGTGTAATGCGGTGCTAATCGAAGCGTTTGTGCAGAATTCAAAGGCCTTCAAACAGGTCGAGGTGCAATATGTGCCGATCCTGCTTGGGGGTTTGATGAAGGTCTGTGGGAACACACCGCCGCTGAACATTAAGAGTATGTCAAGTTTTGTTCTCAGACTTGCCACTGTCTACCCGGACCTCTAACATCATACAGACAAAGACAAGTGGATCAATACGGAGCGCCAGCGCTTGTCGAAACAGTTCAACGTGCCCATCCTGCAAGATGCTCCGCCTGGCTTCCCTGTCAGCACATTGCCCATTCAGCGCGCCCTGGTATCTCTCTCGCTCTCTCACCCACAAAAACTTGAACGCGCAATAGAGCTCTGCTACGAAAATTTCTGGGCGCACTGGAACGACCCGACTAAGCCGGAGAATCTGCAGGCTATCCTTGGGACTGTTTTGGGCAGTGACGAAGAGGCGCAAAAGGTGATCGCGAGGACGAAGACCGATGAGGTGAAGCAGGCTCTGGGTGGAAACACTACCAAGGCGTTTGAAGACGGCGCCTTTGGGCTGCCATGGTTTGTCGGTAAGCGCAGAATTGGTGCTATGTCAGATAATCAGAAAGTGTTTGTTGACCATGTGCGGCAGCTACCAACGCGAGAGGAGAGACTGAGGGGTACTGGGGCGTCGATCACATGGGTCAGCTATGTGACCATTTGGGTCTGGAGAGGCCGTCTAGCAAGGAATGGCGCTCATTGCTGTAAAAGCTTTACCATCGGCCGACACGACCATGCATACAGTCCCGGATTATGTATTCCACGACGAATTCCAGCCGACCACAGCGACTGTCTCCCATTGACCATGCTAGCTGTAACGAGATGCTCGTGACAATTTCAGAGCTGACAGGGGCTATGGTATTGGGGATTCGCGCTCCTTTCACTTTAAACTGCTGTCTCTAGGCCACCACCTGGTAACATCAGGGTTGACACAGCAACGAAATCTCAGTGGGCCATAATTACGCCTTCCTGGCTTGGCCCTGCGCAATATACAAGTGTGAGTCCTCCGCTTGAGCGCGAGTTGTCGTTGAAGTTTCGTCCTCTACTCGTCATTCATCCTATGTCAGAAAGCACAGGTCTCCATGTGATTTTTCCTCTGGTGCACTTGCAAGTCTGCCCCACAAGCTTTATCTGCCGCCATCAGTCCTCCTCCCCGTCTTTACTGTCGCCGGTATTCAGTTCCTCGGCTGCAGATCCAGTCTACTGAAGAAATGGATTACTACCGACAAAATGAACTCCCCGAGACGGTCAAGCGTTACAAGACCTACACCGACCAATTCCAAGCGTGGTTGCTCCAGACAGCCTTCCAACGTGGCGTGGAGATTGCAAATGTGGTTGCAGACCAGGCTAAGAAGAAAAAGAATAAGAAGGGCTACAGAATACCGCTACAGAAACAGGAGCAGCTCGTCAACGCCATAGCCGCTACGAGCATTCCGCTCGCGGACACCAGTGGTATCGACGACCTGGGAGACGCTATCCGGTCAAGGAAGGAGGTAACGCAATATCACAAACAAAATAACACGGCGGACCTGGGTCATGAATACTTCAATGGCAGCTTAGAAGCGCTCATGGCGGTGCTGAAGGATCTTGTCCCCGGTATCAATAAGGCTCGAAACGGCAAGACTGACACGCCTACCCTTGTCTTCATTCAGTTTCCCGCCGAGTCCAACAAAAGCCAAGACGAACAGGACGATTTACTTGAGAAGATGCGGCAGCGGGACCAGGTTGACATGGATGATGGCAGTCAGCAGCAGCAGACTCTGACTTCCAAGACGATGACGAAGGCGGCGATACCAGAGGAGAATCTGCTGACTGCAGAGGAGGAACAGTTGCGCCGTGACTTTCTTGTACTCTGCTTCCTCTACAAGTTCAACCGCATACGGGCTGTCATCTACGAGGTGTGGGTCGCTTACCATGAGGGCCATGTCAATGCGATGACCGCAGCGCTAGTGACCGACCTCGCCCAGGGTAAGTGTCTCTGTACAAATTGCATGTGAAGTAGATACTGACTTCGTCCACCTGCGTTTAGATCATTTGCACCAGAACGTCAAGGCACTGATGGAGGAGCTCGATTTGCTACCAGGAGACCTGGCCACACTCATCCGTCAGCTTTTCGATACGATCAAAGCAGCTCCCAACACTGGAGCACAGAACGCAGCAACACCGCTCACTGAAAAGGCACTGCGTCACCTGTTTTGTCTGGATGATGCTGCCGTCTTGATCAAGAGCTACGTCACGAATAAGCGCCCGATGAAGGACAGTATTGGCAACGACATCCAGGAGCACCCTCTCATGATATTCTTGAGGTTCTTCGACGTTATTCGCAAGGGCAACCTCAAGCTTCCAAAGTGGGATCACTTTACCGCAGAGATGCTGTTGCATCAATGTACATCACAAGACTACCTACCCTTCGGCCTTGCCATTGTTCTCGACATCCAAGAGGCAGTGCGCGAGGACTGTCGTCGGATGATACGCGACCTCACCGAGCACGGCTTAGACATCGCCAGATGTATCCGTTGTCATGTCGACTACGAAGACCGCATGTGGGCCAAGGGAACAAAGCCTGACTACATGTGCAAAGAAGAGATCAAGTTCAGTACCCTCCTGTTGAAGCCTCTAGACAGGCTGTTGGACTGGCTGCAAGATGTTCTGAATTCGCGAGAAGTGCCGATGGCTGCTAGCGTCTTCATCACCGTTCATTCGACGCTCGCGGGACTTTCAATGTGGCACTACAACCAGATCTACCACCATACTACCATTACCAAGATACAGTGGTTCATCAATGGCCTCGCTCACCTCTACAACGCCGCCTGCCAAATCGGCGGTCTGAACATCCAGTGGCCAGACCTCGACTATCTGATCAAGATGCATGGGTAAGATTTTCAGCGTATGAACTACATGTGAGACACGCACTGATTCTGTGCTCAACGCTTAGGTCAAGAGCTTTGTTTCACGGCGATCCACCGACCCACCCTAACGACTTTCTCAATCGCTATCTCCTCTCGGGTAGCACCAGTAGCCGCGCTATGGCCACGGACTTCCGCCACACTTCCAGGTACCTCCCTCGGGTGCCGAAACAAGTTGGAGTGAAACGCGGTTTACGGAGTGATTTGCCATTGGAGGCTAAGATTTCCGATTACTATGGCCCGAACCCGGACAATAACCGTTGGTTGAGGCGTCATGCAGTCTTCAACCATCTCTACCGACGGAAAGAGGCTGTTGGAGGCGCATCAGACGATGACTGCAAACAGGCTAGACGGATCTCAGAGGACTTGCGAGGCACGTTTGCCGATCTAGCAACCAAGATCACGCCCTCGAAGCCAAGGCGAAAAGGCAAGGACAAGGCCAGGGTACGCAAACCCGATTTCGACAAGCAGGACGAGACACACGCCAAGCTGCTAGGTACCATGAGGTCAGAACTGCAGGAGAACGAAGTACACAGTAACTTTGACTTCCTCTCCTTCTATCGTCGCGCCTTCGGCCTCGTTCTACGCCTTCGCGAGGAAGTTCTCATGAGCGACGATGTACGGCGCTCCCGGGCTGAAGACATCAATGCAAATCCCGAGCCCCACAATTTCCAACTGATAACAGATCTCTTCCGCGATCTTCGAATTGAGCCCAAGACTAAGAAAGAAGAAGAGGCCGAAGCGAAGGAGGGTGCTGGACAGCAGCTCTCAGCCAAAGTCGTACCGTTGAAGCAGATTCGACGTGTCGCTGAGATGATGCATGACTTGACCCTTGCCAAGGGTGATGTGGAGTTGAGGCGCGCCAAGTTACGGGTCAAGGGGGATTGGGAGGGTCTCAAGGCTTCGTATGCTGCTGAAGAAGCTGAGAAAGAGGCTTCTGGTGTCGAAGAGAGCGTTCCACAGGCAGAATCCGAAGACGAAGTGGTGACTGAGGTTTCCGATGCTTTAGATGGCCTTGCGCCTCCGCTGAGCATCGTCAACGGCACCAAGCGCACGTTCGAGGCAGATCGAGACTCAGAAGATGGTGGGACGTATACGCTGGGGTCTCAGATCTTGGGACAAAAGCATACACAGTGCGACACGAAAAACTGGTCAGACGAGCCTGATAGTCTAGAAGTCCTTGATGTCGCTATCGATACCCAGGATATGGAGGCCTTGTCACGCTTCGAGGACAAGAGAAATGACATCAGGCGCAAATACGAAGCGGGCGTTGACTCCACGAGCCGCCCAGTTCACTTGCTCAACTCAGGCGGTTGGAACGGCGCATGTGTAGAAGTCGCTGCGGACGAACACATCCCCACTTCCATTGCGCCCGAAGCAGACCAGCGCCATTCCTTGGGCGCGCAAATCCGTCAGGTCATGGGCACTGCTGCCGCAATCTCACTCGCAGCACCCATCAACGATGACAACAAACACAGCGGCACAAGATCTATAGGGTGCGTTTCATTAGCTACGGCGACCAGGAACAAGCCAAAAGGGATATACCACCGCATCACATATTCCAGCACTACGTCTCGCAAATCCCGTATCACGGCCATCTTTCCTTCGTCATCTTCTAGGAACACCAAGCTTCTAGCGCTAACCCAGCCGCGAAAGGCCTCATTCCAACGTCTCTCTGGTACCGCTAGGAAGCATCGCATCGCCTTTCACTGCTACACGCGATGCGCTATGGCTCGTGCCCTACATGGCCAGCAGACTCGTCTGCAGCGACGAATGGCGATTGCCGTTGCGGAGCTGAAGAAGAAGGCCAGGAGGGATTCGGCCGGTAAGTTTTGACGGTATGAAGTGCATTTGAGATATATACTGACTTCGTATCTCCACCTCTGCAGAGTTGGAAAGAGTCTGGTCGAGCGTTAGGGATATGGAAATTGGCAGGGTTTGGGAGACGGAGAGTGATGTGAGTTTGGACTGAGGGGAAAGGAGAGTGCTTGGTAAAGAGGAATCCACAAAAAACGAGTTGCGGTCGCGGGAATTCGTACTTTTGAGTAAGCATAGCAGAGCAGTGCGATGTGATGCCAGGTAGGACGTCCAGACAATGGCACAAATTCTCTTCACAAACGGTCTATAAACACATTTCTAACGGCCGTTACGCTTTTAGTAACTCCCCATCAGCCCGTTTTCTTTTACAGTCTGACCCACATCACGCCATACTCATCCCTCGAACATCTTCGTAGTACTAACGTTAATCCGACTCCACGCCTTCCCTGTCCTCAACGCCTCCAGAAACTTCGCAGGCCAATAGATATGATACAAAACGAAAAAGGGCAGAGGGTCTTCGAACAAATACGTCCCATCCTTCCAACCGACAACATGACTCCAAAATGTCGCCAAGTCATTGAAAGCAGCCTGGAAGGTCGCGACGCCGAAAAGTAAATCAAGAAGCGGCAGGACAACAAAAGACACCAAGTCATGACCGATCCAGTAGTAGCTGTATGTCGGGGAGCGAGGGAAAACAGGACCAATCTTGTGTTTCGATGACAAGGGGTTAGGGCTGTTGAAAATGGAGAGGTAAGCTTCTGCCATTTCGGGAGTTTGCTCAAAGAGCACGACGGCCGTGTGGGCGCGCGGGTTGGATTCAATAGGGTAGAACTTGGCGGCTGCGCCTTTGTCGTCGTTCTCGACTAGGAAGTCGAAGCTTAGGTGGCCGGTGAAGCTTTCGCCGCCGTCCTTGCACACGCGCTCGGTAAAGCCAAGCATCTTCTTGCTGAGGGGCGACGAGGCAGGCAGCGGCTCGTAGTGCATGAGGAGTTCTAGGCTGGGACAGCTGGTGAAAGCTTTTACTTTTCCACGGATGACGAGGGCGTGCGTACAGTATTCGCTTCCTTTGATGAATTGCTGGAGCTGGAACGGGTTCTCTTTGGTGATGTTGAGCGAGTGGATGTATTGGGCTGTGGCGTCTGGGCTATTGAATGGCAGCAGCGTCATCATGTTGTTCCTGGCCTTGTCGTCCACACCGATGGGTTTCATGATGAACTGTCGTCTTGGTACCGTTCTTCCTGATTTCGTTGGCGTTCTGTGCAGCTCACCCATGAGCACATCGAGCGCTTCATGTGGGTTGGTGCAGCGGTGCGATTCCGGGATTGGGAGACCAAGCGACTCGATGTAGTCGATGAACTTGTCCTTTTCATGGAACCTTTCGACAACGTCTTCCCGGAACTGGATGGCTTCGAAATGGCGGCCTTGTTCTCTTGCTTGCTTCTCTGCTAGGCGGACGACTTGGCCATCTTCTACGGCTGCGACAACGCTGGAGCAACTGATCCATAGGTCCACTTTCTCGCGTTGGATGATCGAGAGAATGGAGTCAATGTATGGCTCTGCATCATCGCCACTCGGTGTGTCCAGACAGTAGTACTTCGCAATAGCGCTGGAGAAGCGGCCTGGTGATAAAGAAGAGATGTCGGCGCCAATGATGCGATGCGGTGTATGCTGCGACAGGATGCGCGCAATCGTCAGCCCTTTGGTCATGGACACCCCAGTGACGAGGATAGTTTTCCGTCTTCGTGCCGCCGCCACATGCTGCTTATCCTCGGTCGAAAAGGTTGCGTTGTGCTGCCCATGGAGTCGCGACACTGCAAGACCGAGCAACACCAGCGCTGCCGACACAGGCGCGCAAACAGCGCTCAGAGCCAGTAGAAGCACATTCTTCCACACATGGCTATAGTAAAACGGCACCACGGCATCCTTCTTTCCCTCTGCCATGTCTTCGCCGTCGCTGTTGATGGAAGAGAGGTGCTCGTGACCTCGGCACTTGTTCTCGCACAGTCTTCACCGTTCAGACGTTTCCCAACACACCACCAACGGCGTTACCTTATCAAAAAAAGGACCGAGAGAGGTCTCAACTATGCCCTCGCAAAAGCCTGCAAGCTGCGCTGCACTGCAATGCGGGCTGCAAGTAAGTAGGAATTAGCGGTGCAGACGGACGGCTCGTAGTCACGCAATGCGTTCATGCATAGGCGAGGTGATTGATGTGCGTGCGGCTACGTTCGCCCAGACAAAGCTGTTGGCCTGAGAAGGCTGGCTTTGCTCGCTAGTCTAGACGTCATCGTTACTTCACTCATGTACGACATTGTGGAACCCTAGACTCCATCCTGTCTGCGATCTGGTCGTAGTAGATCCTGTTTGCGATCTGGCCGCGATCGGCGGATGGGGGTTAAGGGGTTTGGGCGGCGGATGCAGGGCTGATGGTTATTTCCTCGACCGCGACGTGTCATGCCGTGGTCACAACATCACCACAGTCTGTCAATGTCGGCCTCGCAGAGATGCTTCGCAGAATTTATGAAACTATAGATTCATCTGTTTATGCCGTTTGTTTTTGCAAGCATTGAGGCATTGCTGGCACCTGTAGCTGGTAGCAGCCGGGTACCGTCGCCGCGCCGAGGCGCTCAGGACCCACCAGCACTGAAACTCGCGATTCATAAGATTGCAACGCGTCATGTACCAAGTTATGATGCCTTCTTCTAGCCAACGCATCGTGTGATTTCGATGCCGTCCTGTGCTCGTCAGTAAATGCGCGTGAGAGACGGCCGGCGCTCCAACTCACAGGTACGCCCGTTGGCTCGTAGCTGTTTACCAGCTTGCTCTCGTACTTGAGATTCGGGTTGCCTTTGCTCTCGCTGAACTTGGCCTTGCCGTATCTCTTCTCGTACATCTTGACGTTCGTCTCAGCAATGCCGCTGAGGTTTGTCTGACCACCCTCTCCAGCCTCCTTGACCTTCTCCTCAACGCTCGACCTGACATACTTCAAGTACGGCGGATTTCCGGGCTTGATGACATTGTCTGCTGCCAGCACGGAGCCTTTTGTGACCAGGCCAAGCTCCTCGCAGAGCTTCAGGTCTGTTGTGTAGGCAGGCTTGTAGTGGTCCAGGAACATGAGATCGACTTGCTTCAGTTGGCCCGATGCTGCCAGCCGCGCAATGCCTTCGTCGCTTGAGCCCACAATTACCTTTACAAGGTCGGTGAGGCCTGCAAGGTCGACCAAAGACATGATGACAGCCGCAAAGGCGGGATCGCGCTCGAAGCTGAAGTATCGCTCGCCGCCTGCTTTTCGTACAGCATCTGCGAAAAGAATACATGAATAGCCTACGTAGCCGCCGAGCTCGACCTACGTGCTGTTAGGGGTGTAATTCGAGTGCAGGGACATTCATACCATGGTTTTTGGCTTTACTTCCGCGATCAAGTCCGTGACAATGCGGCCCTTGTCCTCTCCCACATTCATGAGATACTTCTTTGTGCGTCCATACTCGTCAATGGCTGCCAGAACATGTTCTGGTGATCCTCGTATCTTCTCGATGTTGGGATGTGAATAGACGAAGTGCAGGAGCTCGATTTCGCGCCCATCGTCGAAAAACGCACCCTCCTCCTCTTGCGCTGCATATGCTTTGCTTTGATCAAAGCTGCCCATTGTTGCTGTTGTTCAATGGCAATCTGAAATTGTGCGGACAGTCGTAAGCTCGACGCGTCCGAGCTACCACAGTTGCCCCTCAACGCGTCCGGTCTAGTGCGGGGCTGTGATCAGTAATGACGAAATACATGCAGGAACATGTACGAGTGGCGCTTAGTCCATTCGACTGCTTTAGCACCCAATCTGCCTCCGTGGAGGCGTCTAGATGTCACTCCTTATGTTAGCACATTAGCAATTGACATCGCGCAAATTGCTTTTCCTGCAAAACCCCATCATTGAGGGTGGGATGCCAATGTAGGTGTGACGCCGTATCCTGCCTTTTCCATGCCACACTCCCGTGTACGCGTCAAAGCGCCCTTGGCACCGGTTGAGGCGAGTTCGCACTATGCCATGCGGATACGCGACGCTCATGTGGGGCGGTTCATTGGTGCATACACGGTCCTGTATAGTGTTGACGTTGAGTTGGGTGTGGCTGTCGTCAACGATCTAGAGCTCGCTTTGTCCGCTAACCGACTACGGAGCCACAAGGACTTGCCATGACAACGTACGCTTACCTCTACCAGGCAATATACCTCAACGATCCTGGATCCGCCAAACTCTATCTACCCGAAGCGGGAACTAGAATCGAAAAGATCTCGCTGAATGTCACAATTTTCCAGCTTGTCCCTGGACTGAGGGGTAAGAAAGTGCCGCTGTATGGCTACCGGTAGCGCACTATCAGCCCTGCGCACACACTGCACCTCTTCTGACTCGCTGGCAAATGAGGACTCTGCCACCATCTGCCACAGAGCGTCAGCAATCGAACGATGTGAATCCTGAAGTGGATATGAGGTGATTTCAATGGCTGCCCCGCAGTTGTATGTAGTGTATCTCATTCACTCCACCACGGGAGAGACTCCGTTGTTGGCACTAGATGGGTTCGCGGCTTGTGCTACGCCGAGTTCGTCCTTGGCCGAAGGCAAGTAGGATGGTTCTGCTGTGCCCAAGCCCGCAAAAACCCATGTTGCATGAGTAAAGTGCATATCCCATGTGCCGGAACCGGGTTTTACCGCTGGGAGGGCAATGTTATTGAAGTCATTTCATCATGGCTGGCCAGTAGGAGCCTAGTTTGGCTCGAAGTGAAGTGGCACCAAGTCCAAACAACAAGGGATCCACGAGTGGCCGCATCATGAACGAGAATAATGCGTATGGTTGACGTTGTCTGGAGCGCTGCCGACCTTTGAGAGCCAATGGAGGCAGAGCGTGTACCGCGAGCTATGTGAGTAGTCCCAGACGATATCGGTCTGTCGCCATTTATATAGAGCAGTCCTGCGTACACTGACCCCGCAGAACTCAACGTATCTCATTCACACCTTTTCCACCTCTTTTCACCATG